GCCTCAGTTCCAGTATGGCTCAGTTCAGCACTGTTACTGGTACTATCTTTATTTAAAATTTTAATATTTTTGTTTCTCGTGGATTTTTTTCATTAATTTTGATTTTTATCTCTGTTACTGAGTGTTTTTTGTTCCTCCCTAAAATTTGTATCTGAGGCAAGTATCTCACTCACCTTACCCTAGTTCCAAATCTGACTGCCATCTTAAACAACTTGAAAACCAGACAAAATATATGAAACAACAGTTCTAGACATTGCTCAGCAGACAGGTTAGGACTGTGTTCCCTGAAATAAATGAGCCCTACGGTTATTCCAGCTTATTCTCTAGATCAGGGTCCATGAAATTTTTATGTAAAGGGCCAGACAGTAAATATCTCAGGCTTTTCAGACCATATGATCTCTGTCACAACTACGAACTCAACTCTGTGTCTGCTTTCATACCAAGTATGTGAACGAATGGGTATAGATGTATTCCAATAAAACTTTATTTGTTTAAAAAAACTGGTGGTAGGTTAGATTTGGCCCCAGGCCATAGTTTGCCAATCTTGGCCTAGAGACAGTTTCCACACTGCAGGGCAGGGAGAGAGAATCCAGAGCCCACAGGCTTACTGAAGTGACAAACATTCAGTGTTTGGGAGGCAGCTAGAATTTGGGTCGGGGGGTAAAGCATAGGAGAGGAAGGGGGCTACTTAGAGAACTCCAGAGATCTGCAAAAGGACCCCCTTGAGATTTTGACTGAATACTGACCAGCAAATACAGGAGGAAAAAACCTCAAAGCCAGGAAAAGAACCACCAGAAAGGAGTAGACTGGACAATTTGTGGATATCACACAGGGTTGAGATAGTTTGTGTTCCCACCACCTAGGGTAATAGCAGTTAGGTCCTTTTAAGGCTTGTTTTTAAATCTTCGTTAGGGTGTTTCAGAGCAGCTTTTCCAATTAGGGCATCAGGTAGACTCCCCTCACCTCAGTAGTGGGGCTGGATTAGCTCTAGAAGGGCTGCTGTGGACCTGCCGAACTGGTTCCAAGTAAGTTCCCAGAACAAAGTCCCACCTGTATTTATTTATTTTTGAAGATTTATTTATTTTTTTATTTGACAGAGTAAAAGAGTGTGTGTGTGTGTGCATGGGGGTGGGAGGACAGAGGAAGAAGGAGAGAGAAGCAGACTCCCCACGGAGTGCGGAACCCGATGCCAGGCTTGATCCCAAGACCCTGAGATCATCACCTGAACCAAAATCAAGAGTCAGCCACTTAAGTGACTGAGCCACTCAGGTGCCCCAAGTCCCAATTATATTTAAAAGGATATGATAAAATCCAGTTGCCAGCAGCATAAAAAAATTTCAGTGTCCAGCATCTTATAAAAATTACCAGGCATACAAAGAAGCAAAAAAATATGATACTAACCAGGAGAAAAGTCAACCAATAGAAACAGACCCAAAATAACAGATAAGGACCTTAAAATAACTGTTACAAATAAGTTGCACATATCAAAAATGTAGAGAAAAATGAACATAATTAGCAAAATGAAAAATACAAAAAAAAAGGCTGAAATAAAAGTTCGAGATGAAAAATAAAATATCTGAAATGAAAAATGCAATAGAGAGATGAACATCAGTTTGGCATTACAGAAGAATGGCTCAGTGAACTTCAAGACGATCCAAAATACAGCAAAAAGAATAGAGAAGACTGGGGCACCTGGGTGGCTCAGTTGGTTAACTGTCTGCCTTCAGCTCAGGTCATGATCCCAGGGTCCTGAGATCGGGCTTCGCATCGGGCTCCCTGCTCAGCGGGGAGCCTGCTTCTCCCTCTTCCTCTGCCTGCTACTCTGCCTACTTGTGCTCTCTATCTCTCTGTCAGATAAATAAATAAATAATCTTTAAAAAACAAACAAAAAGAGAAGACTGAAGAGAGAATAACAATATATAGGAACCTGTGAGACAAAATTAGCTGTTCTCAGATACGTGTAACTAGACTTCCAAAAGAGGAGGGAATGCAAAACAGCATTTGAAGAAATAATGGCTGAAAAACAAAATCCAAATTTGATGAAAACTACAAACCACAGAGCTCAAAAACCCCAAATAGAATAAACAAAGAAAACCATACCAATGTACTGCATAATGATATTGCTGAAAAACCAGTGCCAAAGAGGAAAAAAAAAAAAGGCAGGAAGAAAAGACATTACAGAGGAACAAGACAGAAATGACAGCTGACATCTGGTCCTAGCCTGTGCTAGCCAGAAGACAACACAGTGACATGTTTAAAGCACCGAAAGAAAAACCTGTTAGTTTAGAATTCTGTACCCAGAGAAAATATCTTTCAGAAATAAAAGTGAAATCACAATTTCTAGGCCAAGAAAAGCTGACAGAATTTATTGCCAGCAGACCTGCACTACACAGAATTTTTAAAGGAAGTTCAGGTAGAAGTAAATGACACCAGATGGAAATTTTTTCAGAGAGGAGTGAAAAGAACCAGAAATGGTCAATAGGTGGATAAATATTCTCACTTTTAATTGCTTTTTTAAAAAAAATTGGCTATTTAAGGCAAAAATAACAATATATGATGGGCCTTATAATACTTGTAGAGGTAAATAAATGAAAACAGTAGTACAAAGGATGGGAGGGGAGAAATGGAAATATGGTATCACTATACTTAAAGTGGCATAATAGTATTTGCAGGTAAATTGTGATAAGTTAAAGATAACCATCATATCCAGAAAAATCTGTCATCGGCGAAAGAAGGAAACATTAATGCCAATAACAGGATGTAAAATAGGGTACCACTACAGGCCTTACAGACATTGAAAGGGTAGTAAGAGTAAAATTGCAAATAATTTTATGCCAATAGATTTGATAACTTAAATAAAATGAAAACATTCCTCGACAAACACAAACTATCAAAGCTCACTCAAAGAAATATATAACTTTCATTACTCTATGTTTATAAAAGAAATTGAATTGGTAATGAAAATCCTTGGGGCGCCTGGGTGGCTCAGTCAGTTAAGCTTCTGCCTTCGGCTTGGGTCATGATCTCAGTGTCCTGGGATCGAGCCCCGCATTGGGTTCCCTGCTCAGCTGGGAGTCTGCTTCTCCCTCTCTCTCTCTGTCCACCCCTCCCCCCTGCTCATGCTCTCTCTCGTGCTCTCTCAAATAAATAAATAAAATCTTAAAAAAAAAAATCCTTGCCTCAAAGAAAACTCCAGACCCAAATGACTTCACTGGTAAATTGTATTAAACACTTAAAGAAGAAGGAATACTAATCTGACCAAAACTTTTCTAGAAAATAGAAGAGGAGGGAATATTTCCTATCTCATTCTGTGAACCAGCACTGCCTTGAAAGCAAGGCTAGACAAAAACATTACAATAAAGGAAAACCACCAAGTGCATTTGTCTTACACACAGGTCTTCCATGCATTGTAGCAAATAGAATCCATAGAGAAACATATAGGGGCGCCTGGGTGGCTCAGTTGTTAAGCGTCTGCCTTCGGCTCAGGTCATGGTCCCAGGGTCCTGGGATCAAGCCCCGCATCAGGTTCCCTGCTCGGCGGGAAGCCTGCTGCTCCCTCTCCCACTCCCCCTGCTTGTGTTCCCTCTCTCGCTGGGTCTCTGTCAAATAAATTTAAAAAAAAAAAGAAAGAAACACATAAAAAGGATATTACGTAATGATCAAGTGAGGTTTATCTCAGGAATGAAAAATTGGTTTAACACTGGAAAATCAATCCATGTAATCCACCGTCTTAATAGATCAAACAGAAAAATGAGAAGCAAGGAGATGGAAGTGCAGGAAGCACAAAGGGAAGGCAAGAGACACAGGAAGTAGTGATTGGGTTCTGAGAGGAGAGGGGCAGTGCAGAAGCAGTGTTTGAAAAGATAATGGCTGAAATTTTTCTGGAAAGTTAAAAGAAGCCAAACTGCAGTGTTAAGATGTTCAACAAATGGCTTGACAAGATATCCTAAGTAAAAAATCCACACCCAAACACAGGGCAGTGAAGCACATGATTATCTACAAAGGGACAGCGGGCAGCTTCTCAACACCAGCAATGAGAGCCACATAGCACTGGGAGTGATACCTTCAGTACGAGAAAGGAAAGGATTCTCTCTAACCAAAATGATTGAATGTTACATAAAACGTTAATGGTGACAAAAATTTGTGCACATGTGTAAATACACAACAGTAGGACATAAACTGGAAATACGAATGGAGATAATATTTTAAAGTCTTTGCTATCTGGGAAAAGGGTAAAGATACAGTGGCCTTTGAGAAGAACCTGCACATTGTAATTTCTAAAGTTACCATTAAAAGAATAAAAACAGAACCTGTAGCTTCTAGATTACTGGGAAGCGGGGATTAGAATGATAACAATCCTGAAGGAGGCAGATAACCCCTGGTAAAATAGTAGAAATAAATCTACATATTCGGAATGGCTTCCAATGTAAATAGAGTAAATTTTCCGTTTAAAAGGCAAAGATACCGGGGCG